ATTATTCACATTTGTGGTGATGCTGGTGTAAAAARCCTTCTGTACTGCTGGTCRTTTAAAGTATAGCACATACTGCTGGGTAMACTATGAACAGTACATAATACTTGATAATGATAATAAATGACTGTGTTAGTAGTTCATAYATTACTACACTGTACTCTTTGTTATTTCAAAATGCACTCCTATTTATTCTGACAAGTTTACTGTAAAACAGTATTTCCTGTTAGGCCAGCAGCAATCTCACATATTTCCTGTGAACCTCTCTGTCTTTTGTTTCTCTCTGCATTTCTGAGAAMTGTGTTTTTAGGTGATTACAACATTGCATGAATATCTTAGAGAGTACTTACAAACCTAGATAGAATAGGCCTAGAATGGCTCTTGATGCAATAAATAATTTTCATTATAATTATGTTTGAAATCATGTCTTCAATACTATTTGTGAAAAACAGAGTTTCTCTTGAATATTTATGTATAGCATTTCTCTAATTACAGAATCTAAGCTTACATAATACAAAGTCAATTGACTTGAGGGTGAAAAATCTGATCAATCAAATGATATGGCCTATATTCCCTGAAGTGATTAATTTGATGTTGAATCAATGTAAATATATCAGTAGCCTCAAGTTCTCCATTTCCCCATTTAGCATCACATGTTATCTGCAAAACACTCTGAACACCTTTAAAAGTACTATTATGTAAAGTAAGAAATTGCTTATTAATAGAATAAGTCAATACGATGAGTCAAAAGCTGTTAATATATAGCAAAACTATTGAGAGAACTAACCTTACTTATTTCCATTTTCATTCCCATTACCTTTATAAAAACAGCCTTGTTTTCTACTGAGTGTCAAGGCAAATATGGTTTATAATGGAATTTGATATACTTGGATAAAACTATTGATCCCTATCATTGATTTTAATGGCTGAGCATCTTTTAAAAATAACTCATTCCTGCATGATACTACATACATCTTGCTGAATGTGTACAATTAGTCTTTAAAATTCAATTTTGAAAGTTTTGAAAAACAAACCTTGTGCATATGGCACAACAGCTTGACCTAAATGTTCAGCTCTGTTCTACCCTACTCTGTAGCATATTTTTAAGACTTATCTCAAAAATAAGAGGCTGAAATAGCAATGTAAAGCAATTTATAAAAAAAATATTATGTTATAAAAATCTTGTGAGCAAAAGTGGTGAATGGAGCAGGATAATAGACTGCCCCTCAGTTCATGACACCCTTCCCACTCTCAGAAGGGTACAAATGGAGAATAAGTCAACATTTCGGAGAAAAACAACCTGATGTCATCCTATGATAAGACCTTTTATGGAGCCAAGGAAAGAAAACACAAGAGTCTGSTGTAGTTTCCTGTTGCCCTCACCCAACCCCAGTTAAAAAGAAGAATCAAAATTAACGCTAGAAATTCTTAATCAAAGAATTTCTTTCTCAAATTCGAAGAAAAGCAGCATAAGAAATTGAATAGGAATTCATGAGAAAAAAAAAATATGAAAAATGCTAGAGTAGGAAGCAAAACGAAACTCCTAACGGATCTCTGAGGAAAAGGTGGAGTTGCTTTGTCTTCTGCCGGGCACTGGACCAATTTGGGGCTTTGCACATCTGAAGTCCCCAGAAGTCTGATTAAAAACCTGCCTCAGTCACGTGGGCTCTAAAATAGGACTTTTGGGAGAATCTCAAAACAGTGATTTTCAGGCATGTTCATTATGACTTTTGTTATTCCTAATTATTATAAAATCTTTAATGTTGATATTTTATTCAATTTTTCCTGACTTCTACCATATTGATGTAATCAGTTTGTATTATTCTGTTTTGCTTTGTGCGATTCTATTACTGAATTTATATTCTTGGTTCTCTCCAGTTCTATTGCTAGAACACTCGTGGGAAATATGCTTCTCTTTCTTGAATTTATCAATCTTTTTTTTAATTCAACATATTCAGCCATCAAGGAAATGCAAATGCAAACCAAAACTACACTAAAATTCCATCCAATTCCATCCCATTCCAGTTAGAATGGCAATCATCAAGAATACAMAMAAAAAAAAAAAAAAAAACAGTAAAKGRGTAATGAGGATAATGGGGGAAAGGAACTCTCACACTGTTGGTGGAAATGCAAATTATTGTAGTCATTATGGAAATCAGCATGGAGTTTCCTCAAAAAGCTGAAACTAGAACTAACTTATGATCCAGATATACCACTGCTTTGTATTTATCCAAAAGAATTAAACTCAGCATAATTTAGAGATATATACATACCCCTGTTTACACCCATGTTATAAAATCAGCCTAGGTATCCATCAACAGATGAACAGATAAATAAAATGTGGTCTGTACATACCATGAAGTTTTAGTCAGCTATAAAAAGGAATGAAATTATGTCATTTGTAGGAAAATAGATGTAACTGGAGACCATAATTTTGAATGAAATAAGGAAGGACAGGAGGATAGGGGCAATATTCGGAATTGAAATTAATCAAACTATGTTTTTACACATCGTCATAATGAAATGCATTTGTATCTTATTGCGACACAGTAAATTACAAATGATTTAGTGGCTTAAAACAAAAAATTTACTCTAAGTTCTGGAGATCAGTGGTTCTAAATTCATCTCCTGGGACTAAACTCAAGTTGTCAGCAAGACTTGTTCCCTCTGGAGACTCCAGGAAAAACCATTCTCTGCCTTTCCTAGTTGCTGATGGCAGCTAACTCTGTGGTTTGTCCTGCATTACTTCTGTAGTGACAGCCTTCTCTTCAACTGCCTACAAATCATTCCGTGCTTCTCTTGTGTAAGGACACAAGTGACTACAATTAGGGCCTATTCACAGATAATCCAGTATGATCTTCCCATCTCAAGTCCCTTAATTTAATCAGATCTACAAAAATTTCTCTTTCACTGTAAATTAACACTCACGTTCCAGAAATTAGGATGTGGCTGTCTTGGGCTTACTCTGCCAACCACATCTGAATACTTCACATTCATAGAAATCAGTTCTAGGTAGAGTGTAGATCTTAAGTAAAATCTACAGAAAATAACATAGAGAATAAATTTATAGTTGGAGTAAGCAAAGATTTTTTAATTTATTTATTTTAATGAGTATATATGACAGCAGAATGCGTGTTGATTCATTGTACACAATTGTAGCACCACTTTACATTTCTTTGGTTGTACACAATGTAGAGTCGCACCATATGTGCAGTCGTACATGTACCTAGGGTCATGATGTCCATCTCATTTCATCATCTTTCCTACCCCCACAGGAAAGATATTTTAAAGATGACTTAAAAAGCACTACTCATAACCATAAAGGAAATAATTCACAAATTGACTCACACTAAAATTAAAGAAATTTTATTTATCAAAACTTGCCCTTAAGAGGATTGACATAAAAATCTATAGAATTAGAGAATATATGAAGATATTTTTAGTAAATATAGTTCACAAAGAGCTTGTGTCTAATAAAGAAAAAGCAAACAACTAAATAGAAATATGAGAAATAAATACAAACTCTCATTTCACAAAAGAGGGTATCAAATGAGCAGTAGATATGTCAAACTTCACCAATAATCTGGAAAATAAAACCCAAAGATATAATAAACATAACAGTTAAAAATCTACCGGTGATCATATCAAATAGTAATAATAAGGATATGGATCATCTGGAACACTTTTAAGGTGGTAAATATAATCATACTGAGAAAATGAAAGGAGTTAAAATATTTACTCAAGTTCATCATTCATAATTTCTGACAAAGCAATTGAATTCTTGGATACATACACAGCAGAAATGTGTGTCCTTTAACATAAAAGACATGGATTTTCAAAGCAGCATTATTCAGAGTAAGCAAAAACTAGAAGGGAAATGGCCATCAGTAGTAAAAAGAACTGAATTGTAAATATTAATTTACTAGAATATTTTGAATCAGTGAAAAATAAATAAAGGGTAGCATAGTTACTATCTCTCAAACATAATATTGAGCAAAATTAGACAGTAAAAATATGTACAGTATGGTTCCACTAATGATCAACAAAACTAACCATAGATATTCAATATCAGAACAGAGGTTATTGTTGGTGAAAGAAAGAAAAATGAGTAGTGATTGTCACGACTTCTGACAATGCAGACAATGCTCCTTTTTTAAATTGGGGTGATATTTAATTGAGCAGGTTCACTTTGTGAAAACTCACTGAGCTATGTACTAATAATTTGTGTGATTTTCTGCATGAGTTATGTTTCAATTAAGAAAGTATAGAAAAGACATCTATGAACTTATAAAGACAGATGTCTAAAATTTATCTTAAGTGAAAAGAGAAATATGTATAAATGAAATTATTCATGAACTCATGAATGAAGCACAATCACCACTTAAAAATAAAGTTAGAATATATAAATATTTATTTGTGGATAGATAGGTGATGGAAAAGAATATCTCAAATTGTGATGGATCAAGGGATTTTCCACCTTTTTCTTCATTTCAATTTTTATAAGAGATGTACATTATTTTGTAATCAAAATTAAATAATTATATGAAATGGGAAACCATAGAAAATATAGCTTAGACCTTAGATTCAATCATTATTATTATAAATCTGTTATTGAATATTCCATATTTTCCAGGCACTTTTCTATTTACCCTTATATGTAATTATCACAGTAGTTTCTAACAGTTTCTCTTGTCCCATTTTAATATCTGAAGAAATTGTGGTTCCAAATAACTAAGAACATCTAGCTACCAGGAAAACACAGTTAAACTAATGTCAGGTTAATACTGTTAATATCTTACTATCATCAGCAAAAATAATGTAAAAAATAATATGGATGTCTAATATAGTATTTAATATAATAAATAATTATCTAATAGCRCTATTAATATTCCATAAGTCATTATCCCTTGAAAACAAAGATTGTGTTTGTTGAATGAATTATTTTGTTAAAATCAAAATACATATCTACATTGAGTTTTTTAATGTATTGTTTGTTCTTAAAGGTATTGAAAGTAATTTTGGAAAACAGTTCCTTCATTTATTTCTTGTGGAAGGAAGACCCACAGTTAAATATGGATGTGGAGGCTCTCAAAATATCTTGACTCTTTCTGCTAATTATAGCATTAACAACAATGAATTCATCCCTATCACCATACGGTAAGTATTCCACAGTAATTCTTTGAATTTTAGGGCATAACATTATTTTAAAGACAGCATTTGTATGTGTAATAGCTGTCCAAATACGAAAAGAAAAAAAAAARMRCAYMTSWKWTTTTTTTTTTTTACAAGCTACTCTTTTCAGTTGGCAAAGTAAACTAAAAATTGAGCTAAGGTATAATTTCATAGCATTTGGTGGTAATCAAATTTTACACAAAACAAATCAATTTGTAAATGTCATGGTATAAGCAAACATATTAGAATAAAGAATCAAGTAGTTTAGTTGAAATTAAGATCTATTTTAATTGTTCAATAAAGTATWTAGTAAAAAGTACAGCTGCCAGAAATTGAACAGGAGCCACTAGCTGCACAGTACAAAAAAGAAGAAGCGGGGGGGGGGGGGGGATATTAACTGCAAATGTCTTGATGGAGTATATAAATTTTTAGAAAGCCTTCCTTAAATTAGCTCATGCTTCAGAATTAGGAAATATCAGAAAAGAGAAATGACTATATATRATGGTCACATTTCAAGGGCATTACTGAATAAAATTTACATATTTCAGCCAAGAACTTAAAATTCTTCATCAGTATAGCAATCTAGTGATAATGGTCTCAAAAGTTCATCCATATTGGTGAAAAATATCATTTCTTGACTGTGCTTGTRTGTAAGAGCACAATTGGATACTTTACTCTGATGAGCAGGAATCTTGGCTAACCTAGGCAGGCTACATAAATCAAAYAAACTTTCTCAGGGACCACATCAATCTGAAAATAACATCAAGAAAATTGACACCAATCTAAAAATGTAAACTTATAAGCACAGATAGCATCTTACTCATTTTTAATGCTCATAGCAGGGCATTTGACAGATAGAAGATATTCGTAAATTTCTAAATAGATAAAGAAACAGGGGTGTCTGTTCTAAACAATTCAGTTGGCGATAACAAGAAGGCAATGAAATTTCCCTAAAGTAATGAAATTATTATTTGTAAATTGGCTATATTCCTTTGTAACCAAGTTGTGTACCAATAAAACAAACTTTCAGAGTGATGGACTTAACTCATTTCAATCATCTATCTTCTAAGTGTTGCTTATTGATAACAATGAAGAGCCAAATGAAAAGGTGAATAACAGAAAACTATTTAAAAGGCTATTTAAATGAAAACTATTTAAATGATGACTATCTATTGCTAAAGTCATTTTGTAGTGTCATAATTTTATATAAAAATAGTGCATTCTATTTATGAAATTATTTCCACTTTGGGTCAAACTTTTTTAGAAGAATGATTTCCTTCTTTGTTTTTAGGTAATAATGACTTAATTGGGCAGCCCTCAAATCATTYGGCTTCTTAGTTAGCTTCAAATGGAAAGCATTCTGTAAAAATAAAAAAAWTAAAAGAAAGGACTTTTCTAGTAAAACTGAAAACAAAGAACTTCACATGTCTTTGAATTAATTTTATCCAATTAAATCCTTTTTTAACCTGAGGTGACTAAGTTATTATTTATAAATTACTTTTGCCCTTTGGAACACTGGGCATTGTGCAGAAAAAAAACAAAGAAGAGATCTGCTAACAAAGGAACAAAAGTGGTCTTTTGCTAGAAGTTATCTCTACCCAAAAATGAAAATGTACTTTTACCTATAGGCAATATCCTCCAAGAGTTCAAGGTTACAGTAGTATGATGGTATGAGAGGTTGACCCTAGGACTACATTGTAGATTATATATTTYATATTATACATCATTATTTAAAATATTATCTGCTAAGCATTCTTTCAATAGTTCTTATTTTTTTTCATTTCTCTTTGCATTTCTTCTCTTTTTAAATCCTGTTTAATTTTGTTTATTCATTTAACAAAATGGTGCCTATTATATCTATAGCACTATATTAAGCTTCTAGAATTTAATGGTAATCCAAAATTAATAAATTTCTTATTCTTATGTGTATCCACWTTAATGAGAGAGATTGACAGTCTCTGACACTAATGAGGGAATAGTTACATTTTTTTTAGTTTTGCTGGAAATGAGAGAAATATAATGCAAAAGCAAGTTACATTAGCCTGGCCCATGATCATTGAAAACTGTGTAGTGGTGAACTTAGTAAAAACAAACAAACAKACAAAGCTAGAGGCATGTGTTCTAGGCAGAGGGAAGAGTATGTGAGAAGACTGGTAGGAATAACCATGGCATATTCAGAGATATCATAGATAGTGTGTACAGAACAAACAAGCAAAGAGGATGGCTAAGTACTAGAAGTCTACATTGGAAAGGTCAACAGTTGGAAAATTCTATGGACCATTATAGCTATGTTAAGGAATGATTGCAGGGGCCACTTACACATCCAAGACATCATAGTCACTAGGATGAAATAYACTAGTGTCAGTCAGGCTCAGTGACACACACCTGTAATCCCAGTGATTTGGGGGTACTGAGGCAGGAGMATCACAAGTTTGAGGCCAGCCTCAGCAAGTTAGCAAGGGCCTGGGCTGGGGATATGGCTCAGTGGTAAAGCTTCCCTGAGATAAATCCTCAAAACTAAAAAAGAAAAATGATACTAGTGTCAGAAAAAAAGAAACTCACATATATAAGATATAAGTAGGAAAAAAATTGTAACTGATTGAATACCAGTAGTAAAAATTATGTCAAAAAATGAATATTCATTTTCTGATGTGCAACTGGATAGAAYTTATCTTCCAATGAAATAGTAAACAATGCAAGGAGAGCAGGTTTAATAGAAAATATTAAGAGCTCAGGCTTGAGTGCACWGATGAAAATGCCTTCGAAACATTAAAGTGCAGTTTTCAATTTAACATATGGATGTTGAGTTCAGAGGAGAGGTCTGGACAGAAAATKAAATCTGTGAGTCACTAGTCTACAAATGATTGTTGGAACCATGGCCATGGATAGGAGTATAGAGTTAGGAGAAAGAATTGCCCATGACACAGTCTAAGAGCTAACATTTAATGACTCAGTAGAGAAAGATAAAACTGTAAGAGTMTGACAGAATAACCAGAAAAGTTGTAGACAAATAATAAAAGTGGTGTGTTAGAAGACAATGGGAAAGTTTATCAAAAATCCACTGRACCCTCCACCARTTCTATGACCCAAGACTTCTTTGCCAGGGATCGAGAAACTCTARATGAGAGAAGATTAAGACAATAAGTTAAGGTAAATCTTTGAACATGTTTTATTGTGAAGGAGCGAAAAAYGATATAGGAGCAATTGGGGTTGATGAGAAATTAGGAGGAAAAAATGTAAGATGAAACAGAAATGAACATGTTTAATTGTTGAGTAGGATTATCAGTTCAGTGGAAGTCTTATTACACAGAAAAATAAAGAAAAATGATAACATGAAATGTCTCAAAAGTTTGGAAAAATAAGCTAAAATACAGATAAGAGAAGATTCCTTCTGGAGTGGAAGAAATGAAGACACACAACCTGGGGCTTCTGTTTTTTTGTGTGTCTGTCCCTTGATCTATAAATGTTTCTGCTTTATCCCTATCTGCGCTGTTTATGTCATCTTCTCTGTCTCATGTACTCCACTATTTCTTTTTTCTTTTTTAAATTAAATTTATTTTTACTGGCAATACAAACATAACAATTATACATATTAATGGATAACATACAGCATTTTTTAAAGAGAAAGAGAGAGAGAGAGAGAGAGAGAGAGAAATTTTCAATATTTATTTTTTAGTTCTTGGCGGACACAACATCTTTATTTTATTTTTATGTGGTGCTGAGGATCGAACCCAGCGCCCTGCTTGAGCCACATCCCCAGCCCCAACATACAGCATTTTGATACATGAATCCATTGTGTAATGTTTAAATCAGGTTAAATATAATGTCTCCTCAAACATTTCTATTTCCCCATCATTAACTGGGAAAAATTTAGAATTAACAAAGGTCTTTCTGTATAGCCCTTTCTGGTTATCTTGATTCTCACTGTCAAGACTCTTGCTATTCAAATTCACGATCGATTTCTGTCTGAAAAGCTGRTGAATTAAGGCTCCTCTTTAGTCATATGAATGTTGACTGTGTTTCTTCCATATTTACAAGTTTCCTGAAAATAAAATTATACAGCATGATTGATAAGAATTTGTTTTCAAAAATTAGTAGAACAAACTCTAAGGTAAACCCATAAAATATGGCTTTTTAAAATTTTGCTTTTAGCCACAATTTTTGTATTTTATTAGCCAGTATTTCCTCCTGTTAAATTCGCATTATGTCTGTAAGATAGAAGGCAGAAGTAGAACAAACTTGAATAAGCCACTTGTAGTGATTGAGGTCAATWCAGTATCAAGATAGAAGTTCTTCTTAAATGAAATGGAGCAGAGATCACAGTTTTACAGATACATTGTAATTCATACTCATGCACAGTTTGTCTTTCATTTCATCGAATTTTAAAAGGGATCACATAGAGAGAGCTATTGGTTTTCACAAGGGTTATTCTCTATTGGGGAAGTTCAGAAAAATTTTCTTATTTATATATATATATATATATATATATATATATATATATATATATTTAAAGTTTCTGAAGTTTAAATTTTTCTAGCACCTTTAGTGCTATTCTATACAAAAGCTTACTCTTTATGCAGAATGTTTTATTTAAAGAATCCTTGTGTCCTTTCCTCGATGTGACTTATTGTGTTACCTGCACTTTTGAAGCCATGCAACCTATTCCACCTTCCTTAGATCCTACTGTCCAACACCTTACAAGGTTTCCTCAATGATTTACCAAGAGATGTAAAGTTAACCAGGTTTGTTGAAGGCATACTCCATTTTCTCATCATTCCTTTTGGTTAACAGTTCTTAGGTAGTCAAAGTGAGATGATGGCCAAGAATTGTGTAACTGCCAGAATCACACATCCTCATTAGCCCCTTAGCAGATCAGAGTAAAGGGACCCATGCTTTAAGACCAACAGGATAGAAGCTGAAAAAGATTCTTATAGTAGGTCAGCAAAAACCCTTGTTAACACTTGCAAAAATCTCAAAGTACATCA